ACAAGTTTTTATTTGAGTTTTTTAAATTTTTGTAAATATAAACAGAAAACTGAAAACGTAAGTGTTACCAAACGGCACCTTCAAGATTGAGTTTGATGTGTATATTGAGCTTAGAATAAAGATTTGAGTTACAATTCATGCATACATGTACATTTTCTTACAAATTGAACATGATTTCGACGAACCTCTCTTGCATGTTTGAAATTCGTCTTCATTTGGGAAAATCATCAAGTTTCAAGTTGTTTTGTGGTGCTTGATCATGTTTTGAGAAGTTTGATACAAGAAAAATTCATGCATGTTGTGTTCATAAACATCCTTGAAGTTTAAGTTGAAATTGGAAACTTTTGGCAAACCTTTGGGCTATGATTTTATGAAATGGTCCTAAATTCTTCATGTTTTACAAGTTTACTATGTTATCTCAAGTTTTGGGGCCTAAGAGATGTGTTTTGAAGGTAGAAATTCGAGTTTTGAGTTTAAAGATGCAATATGGAAATTCCAGAAATTGCTTCTACGCTCGAGCGTGGGAGTTCACGCTCGAGCGACCATTTTGAGTGCGTGCACTCCGCTCGAGCGACCAAAAGTCCGCTCGAGCGTGAATTGCAAGCTCCCAGAAGTTTCATGTCTTTTGCAGATCGCTCAAGCAAAGGAATGTGCACTCGAGCGACCATTCACATTTTGCATGTCCGCTCGAGCGAGGAAAGCTATGCTCGAGCGTGGACCTTATTTTCAGAAATTTTGCCTAAGTATTCCAAGATATGTTTTGGCATCCTCATTGCATCTTAAGCATTCTTAAGCCTTAATTAAGCCATAGTAATGAGGTTATGGATTAGAAACACACTAAGAAAAGAACGTACCAAGTTCTGAGACTGCAAGTGTGTGTGTTTTAGGCAATGTGATAAGAGAGAATAAGAACCAATGTAATGAAAGCTAAACCGTGTTGGCCATGTACATGTGTAATGATAAGATATGCTTGTGTTATGTATTTTGTGCTTGTAGGTCAAGACTTAAAGATTGATTGACCGCTTACTGAAACCACTGTGAGTAACATTATCGTAAAGATACGTTCATATGAATTATGTTTTAAATGAAATATGATAAGCTGTGATTTCTGAAATGATATCTGTTTTCGTGAACGAATATTCCATGTTTGAAATCTATTATGGCATCCATAGATAGTCCCAAGTCGTGGGAGACGGCATGAGAATGCGGGTTTATGACATACAAGTAATTACAAGATCTCGTTAGCCACTTCATTGTGGTGATATGTGTTTAATCGGTATCCAGAACCGATTACTCTAGTCGGAAGACGTTATGTGATGTGTTCTATGGAATGTACCATTATTATGTTCTGATATGAAAATGATTATGCTCTGGTCTGTTTTCTACTTATGATATGTTCAGATTTCATTCACTGACCCCTTTACCTTAATGTTATTCATTGAGCTTTAGCTCATTGTGTGTATATATATGTATAGGTGCGCATTCTGGAGCCCGAGCCTGAAGGCTTTTGTCTGGATCTGTGTTTTGTTGTCAGCCAACCTTTGTGCCTCACGTAGAGGTTCCTGGAGTGTCTCAAGTGTTTAAGTTCTGTTGTTTCTGTATATATTAGACTCATTTGTTCTGTTGGTTGTACTTAAGATACTCTAATGTGTGTGGGTATAATGTATGAATGACTTTTGATTATGTCTATAAAGTATTTAAATATTTCGTTTCATATAAGTCAGCACAGCTCATTGGACAATTATATTTATGTATTAGCTTCCGCTAGCCCCTTAATTTTGTTAATTTGTTCAGAGGCCTTCGGTAATCCAAGGATTACTGGCCGGTTACGATGCTAACCAATAGGGGCGGGTTTGGGTCGTGACAAACTCCTTTCATCATATTATTTACTTTTATACACAATTCCTTAATCCCTTCATCAACCAATTGATAGGCAAGTTTGTGCATGGATGCTTGAGTTGCTAGTTCCACCATTCTTGGACAAAAATCTCTATAACGTGCTAATATCAACAACTTCGGATCATCCTCATCTACTATAACATTTTTCTCTTCAATTTCACAATCTTTTGCATCCAATCTCCATTGGCCTAATATATACCTTTTGTGAATTTCCATAACATTTATTCTATCAAGTGCTTTGATTGCATGGCTACATAAAATTCCAAAGTTCTCAAATTTCTTACAAGTACAATGTATTTCTCGACAGCTTTTTTCTTCTCTTAGCCCAGTAACTTCCACCCTACCCTTCACAATATACTCTTCATCATTACCATACAAGCCAATCACGCACTTAACTTCTCATTGTAACTCATGGAATTGCTTCACTTGACAACAAAGGGACATATTGTAACAACCCCGACCTCTGATTAACGTTAACCTATGATTAAGTATGCCTAATTAGTAATTAAGGAGAAATTCTGAATTTAAAATGCATTCGTGTGTTGCATTGTTGTGTTTATATCTGTTAAGCGTAGGAAGATCTGTTCACGTTTTAGTTTCGGCTTGTGAATTGAAAGCCTTATCGGCGTCCGAATCAGAAATTGACTTGATTTGTGTGCTAATTAGGATTTATAGAATTTTATGGTAGGTTTAATTAAAATTCAGTTCGGAACGATTAAATTTGATTAAAATAATGCCATTTGTTTATTTTTGATCAATTACTACCTAAGGCCATTTTGACCCCACTAAGTTGTCTTTTTTATTTTATTTCTTCCTCAACTTGGTGCTCAACGTGAGGATGGGAGAGATTTGAGGGATTTGGGTCATAGGTTCAAGAATTGGCTTCACAAGGGGGAATTGGCTAGGAGATTGAAGATAATTTGAAGCTTTGGGTTAGGATCACACTTGAAATCAACCTTAGGTAAGAACTATACTCTTAAACTTTGTATTTAAGGCATTAAGTAAATGAACTCATGTAAGGATTAAGCTAAGAATTGGTGAATTGAAGCTCAATGCATACATGCATGTGTACTTCATGGCATTTGAGGTTGTCCTTCTAAAGAATCCTTGCATGCATGTCATAATCCAAGCTTTGTTTTAGAAATTCTTCATGTTCCATGTCATATTGTCTTAGTTGATCATGTTTTTGGGTTGAACATTGCATTTGGTCATGTTTTGGAAGACTTGAGTTCAAAGAATTGCATACAAGTCATGTACATGAATTAATTTCAAGTTTCAAGTTGAATGTTGCACAATTGGCATACTTTTGGGCCATGATTTCTTGTTATGATGCTTTAAACATGTTGTTTTATGAGTCTCTAAGTGTTTTCCAAAGTTTTGGGCCTAGAAAATTGAGTTTGACGCATTTGGGGTTGAATTTGAGCTCGGTGATCAAATCTGGAATTTCCAAAAATTTGATCCACGGTCGAGTAGGGAACTTTACGCTCGAGCGTGCACTCTGAGTACATGCACCTCCGCTCGAGCGTCGAGATTTACGCTCGAGCGTGAAATGCATATACCCAAAAGTTCTTGTGTTTTGCAGTTCGAGCGAAGGTCTGAGTCTCACGCTCAAGCGTTCGTCGAGCGTGAAAATCATGCATCCAGCACTTTTTTGAGAGTTTACAGTCCGCTCGAGCGGGGAAAGTCACGCTCGAGCGGAGCTTCATTGTCTGCATGTCCGCTCGAGCGGGGAAAGCCACGCTCGAGCGTGGACCTTATTTTCAGCAAGTTTCAAGAAATGTTTTCCAATGCATTCTTGCATCCTCGTTCCATCTTAAGCATTCCTAAGCCATGTTTAAGATTCCATAATGAGGATTAATGGTTAGAAACACACTAAAAGCCAACGAGGTAAGTTATGTATAATTAGAACGTGTGTTTCAAATGTGTGTCTGTTATGTGTTATGTAGGTCACGTGTCGCGTACCGCTTGACCAATCTGCTCCGTCTATCTGTCTCAAGGCCAACTGTGAGTAATAACATAGTAAAGCTATTTTCAACTTTACTTATTTTCTATGTGATGAATTAAGATCTGTTTTCTGAAATGATATGTTATTGACAATGAATGATTGTCTAATTTCTGATATGTATTCGTGACATCCTTAGCATCATATGATATCTGTTGGCTGTTACCCAGTATCGGAGGTTCCATCATGGAACTTAATATGTCTGCACTCTGTTACTCGTACCGGAGGCCCCATCACAGGGCTCAGCGTGTTTATTCTCTATTACCTGGATTCAGAGGTTCTTTTATGAAACTGGTTATTCGTAACCCTCGCGTGTCTGCATCTGTTCTGTATCTGCTCTGTTAATGCTAATGGATGTATCACGTATACTTAAGCATACCTCATGATTTCTGTATATGATCTAGACAAATTATGAATTTGATACGAAACTGAATTATGATTTCTGAATCTGTACGGACTCATTCATTGAAACCCCTTTACTCTGTTATTGTTCACTGAGCTTTTGCTCACAGTTTATATTATGTATGTAGGTGAGCCGGCGCGTGATCAGGGCCAGAGTTGACGGCCTTCATTTCTATTTTTGTCAACCAACCGTTGTACCTCCCGAGGAGGTTCCGATCAAAGTCTAGTTACATGGCTGTTTTTGTACTTATGCTAGTCTCTGTCTGTTTTGTAAAGTCGGGTTCTGGGAATTACACTTTTGTAAATATTGATGTCCTTCGACCAAGACGCTTATGTATATGCAAGTTTTGAAATCTTTTGTCCCATGTATGTTATCACAGCTCATTGGACCTTGTCTATTTTGTATAATTGCTTTCGCAGCCCCTTACTATGTGCTTATCTGTTAAAAGGCCTTTGGTAATCCACGGATTACTAGCCGGTTACGATGCTAAACCTACGGGGGCGAGTTTGGGTCGTGACACATATCCAACTCATAATGAAATAAATCAAAGATAGGAGGGGTTCACAAACTTGCAACCTGGATTAAAATGGGAGACTTTTTTAATTTCATTCTTGGTAACTTTTGTCTAGAATCATATATTGCAGAAATTTCCTCATACCGCTTATCTACAACAATCCGATTGAAGTGAGTAAAGAATTAAACAATGTCATGATCACCTTTCAAATATCTCCTTAATGTTCCATTTAGACTTTCACTAAGTTGTGTGCTTCGCATTCCTCCAGTAAATACCCACTTCATATACAGATGCGCCCACCGCTCTCTTTTTCTCCAAGTTCTTTTCATCCACTCATTCTCTTGCATGTTGTCTTTATCAATCAAAGAATTCCAAGCTTCAATTAATTCATGCTTGTTCTCGTAGTCATAAATGCAAGCTTTTAAATCGCTACTAAATTTTGAACCACTCTTGAACAAGTAACCTAAATGCTTTAAAGCATTTTGCATTAGATGAAAAGTGCACAGCCTATAAAAAACCTCAGACATGATTTGTGAAATTGCCTTAGCCATTGCTTGATCTTGGTCTATGAAAAAACTAATAGGCTTTTTTACCAACATTGCATCCAAAAAAGTTTCAAATAACCATTCAAATGACTCTACAGTTTCATCATACAATAATGTTGCACCAAAAATCACTGTCATTCTAAAGTGGTTAAAGCCAGAAAATAAAGAAAGTGGATGGTACTCCTTATTTGTTCTAAAAGTTGTGTCAAATGACACTGCATCACCACAAAGCCCATAATCTGTTATCATCTGATGATCAACCCAAAAAATATTAGTAATCATCTCATCTACATCCAACTAAATGACATAGTAAAAATATGGATTTTCTGCCACTTGCTGTTGGAAATATCTTAACAAACTCTCTGCTTCAGCATACACTACTAAAAACTAGACTTTTTGCGACGGTCTTAAACGTCGCAAAAGGTCATATATCGTCGCAAAAGACTTTTGCACGGAGCGGGGACGGGAAATTAGGGGTGGCGGAAAGGGGCGTGACAAAAAGTATTTGCGACGGTTACAAACCGTCGCTTTCTTGTAGCAACGGCTAATCAATGGTTTTTGCGATGGTTTCGCCTGACACAAAAAAGGGGGAAAAAACACCATTTTTAGTGACGATGTTTATTGCCGTCGCCAAAAACCTTTTTTAGCGACGGTATTTGCCGTCACAAAAAGTATTATTAGCGACGGTCAAAAACGTCGCCAAAAAAATAATATTAAATTAATGCCATATTGGCGACAGTTTAAACCATCGCAAAAGATTTATTTGCGACAGTTGAAACCGTCGCAAAAGATTGGAACTAATATGTATACGCGACAGGTTAATCCGTCGCTAATAAAATATAAGGAAATGAGGATTACATCAGCGACGGTTTATTATTGTCGCAATAAAATTATTTTTTATAAAATCATATTTTATTAAATATTCTCTGTACAAATTATTAATATTTTTTAAAATCCAAATCCAAATCCAAATCCAAATCCACATCCAAAAAATCATATACCAAGAATAATATATATATATATATATATATATCTTGTAACAATTGTCAACCAAATATTCTTTACAAAAATATATAAAACAACCTCAAACAATACTAATAATTTTCGATATTCAAGAACTCAAATTTTTAGTATCGACAATAGAAATAAAATAAAAAAAAAACATATGTAGTGTAGCTAGTTTTGATATCAATAGTAAGCTCCAATATTCATATGCGAAGATATCACGTACTCAAAAGGTTTATATCTGCAAAAAGAAACAAAAAAAAAACATCATTTACAACATAATTATTTTCAAGCTTACAGAAAATGTAAAACATTTGATATTTTTTCAATAAATAAATAAATAAATAAGATTGTAAACTCCAATATCAATATGCGAATAAATCATTACGTACTCAAAAAGGTTGCACCGGCAAAACAGAACCCAAAAAAAAAAAAAAATCATTTACAACATAATTAATTTCAAGCATACAGAAAATGTAAAACATTTGATATTTATTTCAATAAATAAATAAATAAGATTGTAACATATACATGAATCGAACACCGCGTAATATATCTTCCCACAGCTTCTCCAACTGTTCTTAGACATCGGGATGTTGTTTCCAAAAGAGCGTTCGGCTTGTTGGCTTTTAAGACAAAAAATTTGCAATATTCAGGGCCAATTGGAACTCCATCAATTTCATACAACGAATCAACACTAACAAGAAGTCCCTCAACCAATTAGACTCTTGGTATTACAGAACACTCCAAAGAAACTTTAATTACATTCTACAATGATGATAATACTATTAAAAACAGGCAATGATTGTACAAATTGTGCTATAATTTGACAATAATCGAATAAACACAAAAAGAGTTTGTAAAGAAGAAGTTTTCATCGAGTTCCGTCTTCTCCTACAAGTCATGTGTGCCTAGTATGTTGTGCGCGTCAAGTTTTGTTGACATCCGAACCCGCTTGAGCATTTTAGTGTGTCAAACGGTTCGAAAAGGAGTTATTAAGTAATAAGATTTCATAAACGGAAATTAAGCTCCAGATTCAAAATCGGGAATTGGTTTCGAGTCCCGTCTTCTCCTACAAGTCATGTGTGCCTAGTATGTTGTGCGTGTCAAGTTTCGTTGACATTTGAGCCTGTTTGAGTATTTTAGTGTGTCAACCAGTTCAAAAAAGAGTTTGTAAAGAATAAATTTTCATAAACGAAATGAATGCTCTAGATTCAAAACCGTGAATCGGTTTCGAGTTTTGTCTTCTCCCACATGTCATGTGTGCCTAGCATGTTGTGTATGTCAAGTTTCGTTGACATCTGAGCCCGTTTGAGCATTTTAGTGTGTCAAACGGTTCGAAAAAGAGTTACTAAGTAATAAGATTTCATAAACGGAAATTAAGATCTAGATTCAAAAACAGGAATTGGTTTCAAGTCCCGTCTTCTCCTACAAGTCATGTGTGCCTAGTATGTTGTGTGTGTCAAGTTTCGTTGACATCAGAACCCGTTTGAGCATTTTAGTGTGTCAAGTTCGAACCGTAATGCGCAAGAAATGGTACGGAAACCCCGT